ATATATATATATATATATATATATATGTTTTCTGAGGTTCTCGCGGGTATTTGTATGTGGATCTTTGGTTGTTCGGGTTTTCTCCCGCGTAAGATTCGAAGTATCTAGGCAACGTTTCGATGAAGTCTCATTCATCATCTCAGGCTTCTGTCTCCGGCTCTGTGCTTCTCAGAGTAATGTGAGATTGCAGCTGCTTCCTCCTTTTAACTGCCAGTGGGGGTGGGACTTGATTGGGTGGGGACTTGGCTGTGTTCTGATTGGGTGGGGGTGTGTTCTCATTGGTAGGGGGTTTGGCTGTGTTCTGATTGGTTGGGGGGTTAGCCGTGTTCTGATTGGTTGCAACAGCATTTAGACTTATATACTGCTTCATAATGTTTTACAGCATTATGGTTTACAACAGCAGTCTCCGACTTTTCCAGTTTGGTACACTGGTGAAGGGGGGAAGAGAGGGGATAGTTTCACACTCACGCATTCACAAACGCAGGTGCGCAGACTTGCCCACCATCTCCATGGCCTGGTTCTGAATGGTGCCATGGGCCAGCATCGGGGTTGGGGACCCCTGCTTTAGAGCACTCTTTAAGCATTTTACAGAGTCAGCATATTGCCCCCAACTATCTGGGTCCTCATTTTAGCAACCTTGGAAGGATGGAAAGCTGAGTGAACCATGAGCTGGTCAGGAGGTGAACTGGTAGTGGGCAGAATTACCCTGCAATACTGCATTCTAACCATAGCTCTGTGGTACCTATTTATCTACTCATGTTTTCATGCTTTCGAACTGCTAGGTGGGCAGGAGCTAGGGGAACTCAGCCTGCCGAGTGATGCTCGGGTCTCGAACTTGGGCTATCAGTTTTCCAGCTGATAAGCCTAAGGTCTTAACCACTGAGCCATTGTGCTACCCCCAAAGTGGGCTTAAACACACCAGAATCCTCTTACCTTACGACTTCTCCCATTTGTTCATTTTGTGTTCCTTGCTAATAAAATGGGAACAGGAATGTCTAATATTTAGAGTTCTTGTGCGCCCAGGTCATGTTTTAGAAAAGTTAAAACATGCTCAGTTTTCTCATCAGCAAATATGGATTTATTTGGGACCTTCAAAGGGAATTTTGTAGGACATCTGCACTAATTGATTTCTGTGCAGTGATTATTTTTACAAAGTGAAAGATTTCATTTCATCTGGATTAGCTCTGAAATGAATACCTTTATTTAGTTAGGGAGTGAGGATATTTTCAAACTTCAGACTGCTTCGCCAGTTCTAGGCAAGATGACTAAACGTGTGACAAAAATGAAAACAAACATTCTGACAAATTATCTGTCTGTCTATCTATCTATCTATCTATCTATCTATCTATCTAGAATTAATGGAATTGACCAAGATTTTTTTTAAGATATCTTCCTCCCTCCCTCCCTCCTACTTCCATCTATAATCTGTCTGTCTGTCTGTCTGTCTGTCTGTCTGTCTGTCTATCTATCTATCTATCTATCTATCTATCTATCTATCTATCTACCTACCTACCTATCTACCTATCTACCTATCTATCTACCTACCTACCTACCTACCTACCTACTATCAATGGAATTGACCAAGATTTTCTTAAGATATCTTCCTTCCTTCCTTCCTTCCTTCCTTCCTTCCTTCCTTCCTTCCTTCCTCCCACCTTCTTCCCTTTATCATCTATAACCTAATCTGTCTGTCTATCTATCTATACCAGTATCTGTCTCTGTTTATCTATCTATCATCTATCTATCTATCTATCTATCTATCTATCTATCTATCTATCTATCTATCATCTATCTATCTTTGTCTGTCTGTCTCTATCATCTATCATCGATGTATCTTTGTCTGTCTGTCTGTCTATCTGTATCTATCTATCTATCTATCTATCTATCTATCTATCTATCTATCTAT